AAAATGTACATTCGAATTTATAGCCGTGTTTACACTACGCGCGAGCCTAGGCCTAGCCTAGTATAGGCCTAGCTTTGGACTAGATTTTTGTAGTGTAAACGCACTTCGACATGGCCTAGGTCAGGAAATCTGAGCCATCAGAACAGGTGTTCCACATTTCCTAACCTAGGCCAGGCCCAAAGTGCGTTTACACTACAAAAATCTGGTCCAAAGCTAGGCCTAGGCCAGGCTTAGGCTCGTAGTGTAAACACGGCTACATGACCGACATATCAGAATGTTATTTATGAAGTTTGAATTGAATTTACTTAAAACGAAATAAATACTAATAAAAATAGGAATTTTATATGCTGGGTTAGTAAAAGAAAAAGCATAATTTTAATTGTATGTAATTTCGATGAATACTATATATAAAAAAAATTATACGCATTGTTTATATAAGACATATAAATTAGCTAACATTTTCACATTTATTACGATAGTAGCGACGTTTGTTTTAGCCATGTAACAAAATAAACTATAAGCATTCTGATCAGTTATTTAACAAAAAATAAAAAAATTGTGAATTTTAATTCACATAACTTTTGAAATTTATTCTCAGCTATGGAGCTCACGAATATATTTTTTTCAAAGAAAAATATTGAAATTCGATTATTTATAAAATTGATATTTTTGTTAAATAACTGATCAGAATGCTTATAGTTTATTTTGTTACGTGGCTAAAACAAACGTCGCTACTATCGTAATAAATGTGAAAATGTTAGCTAATTTATATAAACAATGCGTATAACTTTTTTATAGTATTCATCGAAATTACATACAATTAAAATTATGCTTTTTCTTTTACTAACCCAGCATAGAAAATTCCTATTTTAGTATTTATTTCGCGTTAAGTAAATTCAATACAAACTTCATAAATAACATTCTGATATGTCGGTCATAAATTCGAATGTAAATTTTTGTGTCGTATTTTGTTATGCCGTCGCCACAGAAAAATAGAACATATTGATAAAAATTCTAGGCCCAGGGGGAATGGAAACACGTGGAATGTTCTATTATACTTATAGTTCTTTTAAGTCAATCAACTAAATCAATCAACTGAATCAAAGAAAGAATAATCGATCTTTCTGAATTCTGGTATATTTTTGAAATATACAAGTTCGTGTCATTTATGAATCTGGTCAGACTGAATGAATGTGGCATAACATTCAAAAATAAAGCTTTCTCAGCGTGTCAGGAAAAGAATATTACGACTATATTTACAAAAAGGGTTTTACTAGCTGTGGTAGTTTCTTTCATCTGAGATATGTCAGTCAGAAAGAAATTGTTTACTTTTAGCGCCTCTCAAGAAATATGTTAATTAGCTATAAATTATGCAAAATCATTGATTATGGGCTCCAGAAAATCTTAACTCGCGCCAAATACAGATTGATACCCGCAGGTTTTTCTTCAGATCTTCTGAAAATAAGTATAAATCATTACAGCCAAGCACATTTCAGCGTAATTTTAGGTCCCCATTTGGAGATCTCAGGCTTCGATTTTAGTGTAACTTTGTAGACCGAACATGCAAGAAGCAAAAAGCGGTGCGCCTTCAAGTTGCTGTAGTTTATTCACGATTTATTCCAATGCTCTTATTTTTTGGAACAGGGAACCTGAATTGTATCTTAACTTGCTAATCTAGTTGAAATTTGCAAATAGTCAGGCGTTTTGACTCAGCGCGGCTCTACAATTTACCGAAATTCAACCTTCGATTTTGCTTGAAAATAGCACTGCACGGGTAAAATGAGTTTCGGCGTCTAGCGAAGCCATAAAAAAGAATTTTCAAAAAATAAATTTATTTTGGACACTTGTATACCAATGCCTTTCAACACACAAAAAATAAAGGAAATCTATTTTCCGAAGTCAAAGTCATCGGACCGCTCTTAGCGGGACTGCCCTTAATTGCTGCGGCAGCTCCCAGTAGTGTATGTAAAAGAGATTTATACCTGTTTGCTTAAGCTTTGTGTCATTTAAACCATTCAACGTGTCTCTGGTAATGGTTGTTGGTTTGTTTTGCGGTTCATGTAACCATAATCGAAGTTCTCCATCCTGTGATTAAGTTCGCTCAGCGTCAGGCATCTGACTTCATCAATTAATTCTTTCAACAGTAGCTTCGTTTCATATGGTACCATGCCTGTAAAATGTAGGAAGTTATGGGGCGACGCTACCTCCAAAGTCTAAAGGTCTAACTCCAAAAATGATTTAGAAGCTAGGTACCCATTCTCGTTCCCTCGACATGCTCTGTTGTCCGCGTGTAAGACGCGGGATCTGGGTACGAGAATGTGACATAGCCTAGCTCCATTTCACAGCTATGTATATGCATGGTACCAAACCTTCTAATAAAATATGCATTATGTCCTCCGGGAAGCACCTGCAGACATCAAAATGTTCCACCTTGTTCAGTACGCTCAAACGATTCACTCCATAGGTTGTGGACAGCTGGTCACGGATGTCTCTGGCATTATCTTTATCCTCAATGCAACTACAAATTCGTCTGTGGCTTGTCAAATTTCTTTCTCGAAATTTTTCAGAAAGAAACTAGAACAAAAATGTTCATGATAAGATTTTCTGGCCATTCTCAGATTCTCTATAAGTGACTGAAATAGGTATAACCAATTTTTAAAGTTCCGGCCGGAATCGGATCTGGCCGGAACTGGAAAAAGGTTCCGGCCGGAACCGGAACTGATTTATTAAGCCATATATAGTCATATGTTACTTTGCCTGCTGCCAGACAGGCAGACACTTCAAGTCATCAAGGACAGAGCTCGCAATTGTTAGAAAAAAAAGATTGACAAACGTTAAACGTCATAATGAAGTGTTAATAGTGTACATTTTCCTTGTGTAGTCCAATAAATATTGGACATTATTCAATAAATAAACTTGATATTCTATCTCTCTAAAAACGACAGAGTTCCGGTTTCGGCCATGCTTTTTTTATTAGTTCCGGCCGGAACCGGAACTCTGAAAAATCGGGGTTCCGGCCGGAACTAACCGGCCGGAACTGAGTTCCGGTGCACCCCTAGTTTTAGATTTAAATTGCTTTTCAAACTAACTATTGTCTGTTTCTAAATAATCTATAGTAATATGTTTCTCAATAGACCTTACCAAACAATACAATTAATGGCGTAAACCTCTGTATATAAGAGCAGGGCTTATAATATATAGGAGGGCTTATAATATATATGGGAGGGCTTATAATATATATGGGAGGGCTTATAATATATATGGGAGGACTTATATTTGGGGGGAGGGGAGGAGCGTGCACTAAAATTTGGAATGCTGTAAGTGTTAGTGAACATGATGGGCCTATATACACATGGGGAGCTTATATTTGCAGGGGGGGGGGGTGCTTATATATAGAGGTTTACGGTAGCTATATTTCTTTGCTAGCTAATTTAAACCTACTAATTAAATGGCAAGACTCTCTGTCATCTGGTGTTAGACAGGGTAAAAAATCAAAGTCGGATGCATGTGTGCACATTGCCAGTCAATGTTTAGAAAGATAACTTAAAATACAGCCAAAGCGTCTTGGGAATAACAGTTTAATGACCGTATTAGACATCAAAAAAGTCTATAATCAATTTTGTTTTTCATTCCCTCAGTATGTTCATTTTGTGTTTCATTCCCTTAGTACTTTTACCTCTAGGCTCTTTAATAATGGAATTTGGTAACCAAGTATGCTAGTACGCTTCAGTTTCTTCCTTCCTCCTGAAAAAAGGCGCTTCCATTCTTTCCCCATCTCTATTTCCACAGGTTCCTGCAAATATAAAATGTAAATCAATTTCATATATCCTCATTTATCTTTAGCCTTGGCAAAGTCACCTGGACTTGGCATGTTACTTGGTATATAACCATCATTTATAGATGCCTGGTGTCGATGCACAGAAAATTTTTATAGCAAATCATCACTGTCAATAAACATCAGTTTTATCAGTGGAAGTAAAATATTTACATGCCCTGGTATGAGCGGCAAGGCAGTCAAATAGCTTATCACTTTAGTTCTAGATACAAGTTAGGTAAACCCATTGTGTACATATGTAGTAATCAATTGATGTATCCTATAACAACTGTAAAAATCACCTACCACCAGATTAAAATTTTTCAAAAAGTAGTATCTTTGCTCGTAAGCTAAATCCAAGCCATTAAAGACATCATCAAAGGAAAACAATTCTTCCATGTCCTGAGAAAACTGAATCTCGTGATCCCCAGTCTCACGTAATTTAGCGATGAGGGATTTTTTTACTATGTCCAAATACTCTCCAAGTAGATTCTTCGTCGAGTCTTTGACCAAATCCACGGCACTTTGTGTAAGATTTCCTTGTGCTTTTGCGCACAGAAGGAACTTGGCGGCATGGCATTGCAAGTCACTTTGAGCTGCCCTTTCTTCGAACTCCTCGGTCCCTTCCTCCCCAAAATTTGGTTCTTGTCCAAGTTCCAAGTTTTTATGTTTTCGTGTGTAATGTTTTTGAAGAGTGTTTACCTTCTTAAACGATCTTGGACAGCAACGACAATATACTCCAAAATTTGGTTCGTTTGAGTGAAACTTTTATTACTAAATGTGCAAAAAATAATGTACTGTCATCACTGCAACATACAAAGTTGCAGTAATCACAACGAAATTCATTTAGATCAGTCATATAAACACGAAACAAAGCTAGAATTTACTCTGCAGTCTGCATATTTCTAGCCGCCATGTTTTCTCGTGGAGAACCTCGTACACAGGCCTTTTTTTTCCACGCCCGCATTTAAACGCCCCTGATATCCACGCAAGACTCCCCAAATCGTATGAAGCGAAGGTCCTGAAAACTAGTCTTCCGTATATGGTATGGCAATTAGCACGTGATAGTAAATCAGCCAATAAGAGGCACGTATTGTTGAGAGAAATATTCAAGCCAGGAACGCGTCCTGAGGCGTCCTTTGATCTTTTTCGACTTCAACAGCCTCGAAGAATAGTTTATAGCTTTGTTTACAGCAATTTAATACTGTATACGTATTTAACAACGACTATGGATCTATCAGCAATATTCATAGACGAACTGATTGCCTTTTTGTCTTCGAAAGGCATTTCAAAGGGACTATGAGGCCAACTGGAAGGTAGGAACCTAGTATCTATAAATTCGACTTTGTTTAACTGTTTTACAGCACTTTAGTCTTTACCGTACCCGACCAGTTTTTAGTGTTGTTTTAGTATGGTGTTTTCAATTTAGTTTTAGTTCAGTTTTAGTTTAATGCAGTAATTTATGTTTAGTTTTAGTTTAGTTTTAGTTTAAAAAAGGAATTTCTTTTTAGTTTTAGTTTTAGTTTAGTTCTAGTTTGAACAAGGATTTTTTTTTTTAGTTTTAGTTTAGTTCTAGTTTGAAACAGAAATTTTGTTTTAGTTTTAGTTTAGTTCGCGTTCGAAAGACGAATTTTATTTTAGTTTTGGTTTAGTCCTAGCTAAGCAAACATTTAGTTTTAGTTTTCAGTGGTTCAAATATGTACGAAAATGTTTGTATAAAGGCCACTACTAGGCCAGGAAAGACCATGTAAATATTATATATTCAAAATCAGCAATTGTTTATTTCGAATTCAAAATTGCTTTATTGACCTGTAGCCTGGCATGACTATACAAACTAAAACAAGTTTATTTATAAATAACCCAATGTAAACCAGGGTCGAGGTTTTGAAAACATTGTTTCGGTTTTCCAGGAGCAGGAAGTATAAAATCATAGGCGGAAAGCAGAATCGACAGTTTACGATCAGTTCGCGACAATTCACGATCGTGTACAAAGTCCCGTCGAAGGCTCGAGTATATTTAAAAAAATAGATCATAAACAATTAAACATACAATCTGTTGACTAATTAAATTCTTTCATTTAGTTTTAGTCATTGGTGGTAATTTTGCTTTTAGGACTTGCTGCTGATTTTGCTTTAGTTCTAGTTTAGTTCTAGTTTTTATCTCTTAAATCGCTTTAGTTCTAGTTTAGTTTTAGTATTTATCTGTTTAATTGATTTAGTTCTAGTTAGTTTTAGTTGACTAAATTATTTTGGCACGACTAAAATAGGGTTTTAGTTTTAGTTCTAGTCGACTAAAACAACAGTACCAGTTTTCCACTTCAGTCGTACCGAAACGTATTTCTTTGTTTCCTGAGCGGTAGTGTGGAACTAATGAGTATTAAATGACGTTCGACACAAAAGAAAATGCTACGGTATGTTTATACGATATGGTTGAAGTGGAAACCAGGCTAAATTTAAAAATTTGATGGCGTATTAATCGTAGTCGCGTATTGTGCGAGGATAAGTTTTGCTTGCATTTTTGGTTGAGACCTCGAAGGTAAAGATGATAAATTCTTGGCCTTTTTAGACCAGATAAAACGAATTTAGCAGCCTCGAGGAACAGCAACATCAAAGATGTAGCGAGAACCGCTGCCGCCAGTTTATACGTGACGTTTTTACGTTTTTTTTCATGTATGCGGGCTATTAAACGGCTAACATTTTAAAACAGATTTGTTGAATATATTTCTTATATAGACATAAATCAGGGCCGTTCCTAGCGCGATAATTGGGGTGTGTATATTCATATATTCGTGTTCTGCCCGACGGATTTCTTTCGGAAGGCGATAGTCGGTATGTGAACATAGATATATAAATATACCCCCCACCCCCTGGTTTACGCATTGACTATTACAAGAAATAAGTAGAAAGGGTGTATATTTATTATATCATAACGCACGTTCGTTTTTCTGAATAAGATATTATATACCTGAGATATATCTTGCACAATTAGAACTCCAAAGCAACATTTAGCTAAATGTCTATATTGAGATCTTGTATTTCAGATTTGTAGTATACCATAAGGCATATTTCATGAGTCAAAAAGGGCACGTTCGCTTGAAAAACGGGGCACATTTTGGTGTTTTCCAAAAAGTGGGGGATGGAGCACAGAGCCCCAGTGCCCCCCCCCCCCCCGGTTCCGCGGCCTTTGATTTTTATGTAATTCAATTGCGTTCGTGAAAAATGAAAATTGATTCGTTATATAAATTGCCAGTGCCCCTGACACAAAAAATGTTTTTCAGTCTGTACATGTTGAACGTACTCATTTAGTATAGTGTTTTAGTGAAAGAATTTTTCAATTTCATCAAAACGAAAAATTTTTAGAGCCGTTTGAATCCAAATATTTTTGGCTAATGGCCGTCGGCGACAGAAGTCTGGCACTAGCATTTATTCTGACGTCACGCAAGTGAGTCGAATCTTGATGGCATGTTATCTGTTTTAATCAGCTCGAAGGTTTTGATCGCTGAAGTGTTTAACTTTTTATATTCTAAGTTCTATAAAGTATCATGTTGACAACAGAATCAACAGAATCAGTCCGATTATTCCGGAGCGAATTTTATACCTGGTTAATAATATGTTGTAATGGAAGCAGTGCTGATCTGTAGCGTCTCGTCAGGTCCCTAGTATTATCATTAATATTACCAAATCTGCTTCGCGGACGTGACGAAAAACTGCTGCTATTATCACAGTTTCACTTCACGGATAAAAACTGTTGTTGGTAAACAAAGTCAGGGACACGAGAAAAACAAAGTAAAACTAGTCTCCCATATATCTCCTTATTTCTGATGATAGTTTTAGTAAAATTGTAGTCAAGTAGCTATTTATGACCTTTGAGAGGTCAAGCGGTGTCATAATTCATAATATGGAAAGCCATGACTGTCTTAAGTAGTTAATCGTCATTATATGCGGTGCTTTTGTCATTATATGCGGTGGTTTTGTCATTATATGAGGTGCTTTCGTCATTATATGCGGTGCTTTTGTCATTATATGCGGTGGTTTCGTCATTATATGCGGTGCTTTCGTCATTATATGCGGTGCTTTCGTCATTATATGTTTTTTTGGGGTTTTTTTTGGGTTTTTTTAACAGCTTTATTAGGAACTTAATATATTACATTAATAAGGTACAAATACAACAAACATGCAGTTCCTAAACGGGAAAATAGCGAACGGGCCATAATAGCCCATGCGAGGCTACCTCCCGATTTGACTTCTGTCGACATTTACAAATTTACATAAAATTTAAAATTTAAAATCGTTGAAAGCACGTTTACACACATTCAGGCCAAAGTGATAGGACCTGTGTTAAAATAATTTTTGTAAGCCAGATAAAACGTCATTTGGTGGCATCAATCATAAAAGAGGTACCCCGACCGGTCGTAATGCGTAAACGTGCTTTAACTCCTGTGACAAGCACAGTCTCTAACAACTGACCAAGTACATGTCAAATTTGCATCAAAAACATTCAATAAAAGTTCATTATAATGATTGATTAAGAACGTTTTAAAAGTGGTGACACTAGTAAAGCTGCTACATGTGGCAACTTTGCATATAGAGTTCCATATCTTTACAATTCGATTAAAAAATGATGCCTGAAATGTAGTTGTTTTACAATATGGTATTTTTAAAACAAAGGTGGAATTACTACTGAGACGTGTTCGCCCATGAGTGACAAAGGAGACAAAGTCTTCCACATTTATTTATGTGGTGGTTTTGTCATTATATCCGGTGGTTTTGTCATTATATGAGGTGCTTTCGTCATTATATGAGGTGCTTTCGTCATTATATGCGGTGCTTTCGTCATTATATGCGGTGCTTTCGTCATTATATGCGGTGCTTTTGTCATTATATGCGGTGGTTTCGTCATTATATGCGGTGCTTTCGTCATTATATGCGGTGCTTTCGTCATTATATGCAGTGGTTTTGTCATTATATGCGGTGGTTTTGTCATTATATGAGGTGCTTTCGCCATTATATGAGGTGCTTTCGTCATTATATGCGGTGCTTTCGTCATTATATGCGGTGCTTTTGTCATTATATGCGGTGCTTTGTGTTCATTATACGAAGGTAATTAGCCCGCGATAGTTATGTGCAGTCGCATACAACGTTTGACCCGGGGGACGAGGTTGTGACAAACGTACTTCATGTAAGATTGGTATACTTCGTTTAAGATTTAACAACATGGTCGACATTTTACTCTGAAAATCAGAAAATGGAGGGAATATTGCAGCAACTTGGCTTAGCTAATCTTTTAAGTCGGTTTGTAGACGAAAGGGTGGATGAAAAAATTGTTCTAAGTTCGACAGATAGTGAGCTTTCTCGCCTAGGTATCTCAACTATCGGTGATCGAGTTCGATTACGCGAATTGTGCAAACAATCCGTACAAGCTGGGCAAGGGCAACGTCCGCAAGGAGCCTCGACATCTGCAGCGACAGCCTCTCATGAAGTTCGCGAGTTATTTCACAGTAACAGAAGACGAAGTAAAAGGGGAACAAAACAAGCGAAAAAAAGAACTTGGACTGCTCAAGTGGTTTGTTTGGCAGATAGATTAGCTTACAAAGTTCCTACCGCATCCGAAAAACAAATTTTGTTCAAGGCTGGTCTTGGCTTAAAAAGAATAAAATTTGACGTTGACGATAACGAAGAAGCCGTGGTTAAGAAAATGACTGCGAGTGAGACTGAAGACGGCTCTGCCTCTGCCGAAGTTCTTGGGTTCCCTCAACTTCAAAACTGTGGTGGTTTCGAGCTGATGCGTTGTGTTGCAAATTGCAGGGAACTTGTTGTTATTGATGGATCTTGGGCTGTAAAAGAATTGAAGGCTAATGGTGGTCCTCAGGCAAAAATCTATGTGAGGCCAATCCAAAAAAGTCTTTCCACAAAGCCACTTGCTGCTGAGAAAACCTCCCAAGTCAAAGAAAAATGTATTAGCTGTGACAAAGAATTCTTTGTACATGAGTTGCGAAAGCACAGCTTTGTTTGTGTGGACATGTTTAACACCAGTGAGGGAAGTGAAGGGGAAAGCGATTTAGGGGTTTTATCCACACTTAATGAAATGCCAGACCCAAGTGTGAACTCGGTGGTTCAGGTTGAACCTTCAAGCTCATCGTCCTCTGCACCAGCACCCAGTAATGATACACCTTATACAACAGCCACCAACATCTTGACATCTACAGATTCTACTCCTGGCAATAGTGCTTCAGCTCCTATTGTTGTTCATCCAGATGAAAGTGACCTGGATACACAAGAAAAGATAGCTGATCATATTGTTGCAGAATTAGTCCAGTACTGTTCTGCTAATGATATATCAAATCCTGTAGAAATCCTATCCTGCTATCAGTCCATGTTTGTTCAAGGTAGAGCATTGGAAATCAAAGACCCATCAGTTTGCGAAGAAGGTGTCACAAATGTCATTTTTGTCGATTGTGGAAATGTATTGGACACTGGATTTGATGAAATTGACCAAATCCAAAACTTGCGAACAACATTAGAAGTTGAATTCTATGGTGAGGTACAGTAAGCAAAGATTTTTAAATGTGCATATTTGTGTCTGTCTGTTTGTTTACTTGTCTGTTTGTTTACTTGTTTGTTTGCTTACTTGTTTGTTTGTTTACTTGTCTGTTTGTTTACTTGTCTGTTTGTTTACTTGTTTGTTTGTTTACTTGTTTGTTTGTTTACTTGTCTGTTTGTTTACTTGTTTGTTTGTTTGTTTAATTGTTTGTTTGTTTGTGCATGTGTATTAATTTATTATACAATTATGTGTATTTATACAGTTTGTGAAGGCTTGCTCTATTATCTTCATATTCTTTATTATTTAGGGTGCCAAAGACTATGGAGGACCTCGAAAAGAGTTTTTTCTTATGATTATGAATGCAATCAAGGAGAAGTACTTTGATAAAGGACTAAGACAGCACCTCTTTTATAAATATGAAACAGTTGGAAAGATAATGGGTAAGGAAAATGGTTGATATCTGTTGTTTGTTTCCAATATTGTATGTGATTGGTTTGTGCATCATTCACCTTCATTTAATTATGCAGTTACGAGAATTCATTTAAGGACAAAATAATGGCAAATAGTCTGATAGTCTTTAGTGGCAACACTCTTCCTTTGACAAGTAAAATTATCTGACGTTAGGTGAGTAAAATAATAAAGTAGGGCGTATTTCACTTAAAGGTTAATGAAACAAACATAGCGCTTTCTACTTTGCTCGACTCCCCTTCACTCAAACCAAATTTTCCAGATGTCTCACATTTCAACAGATGCAATCATTAATTGCCACAACTACCCCTCCTCCTTCCTGTTTGACACATTACTACAGTATTTGGTACATGATGTCGAGACCTATAGTGCTATTCTCTTCTAATTGGAAATTCTTTAAGAGCAGATGTCAGCAAAATTCATACAACAGACGGCAACACACTGAAAATCGATTTTGCTCATACTTTTATGTTTTGTCGTGTATTATATCCTAATTATCGTGGCATAGTTTATTTGTCAAAATACGATTTTGTTTTTGAGAAATATTTATTTTGGTCGGAGTGGGTAAATATACTAATTAGAAGTGCTCCGGATTGACCAACTTAATCGACTTCGTGTAACGAAAATATTTAACCGTTGGATTCGAAAATATGATATTTGTTTTTGTTGTCATATACACTTGACTCACTATCATTATGAAAGATTTGAGTTTTGTACTAAAATAATGACAAATTTTTATATTCACCATACTTTTTCTGACTGTGAAAGTAGCCTCGAAATAACGTTCATTTAAACTATGTGCGATACATCTAAATCCAACAAATTTCAGGATGTTAACAGTCGAAATGATGATTAGTTAGCTGATGTAAATATCTGCTTGTGTATTTGATTTATATTCACGAGACGTGATGTCAAAGTGACGTAAAATTCGAATGTTTACTACAATGAAATGTACATAGCGGCATCTGGTGGGCTATAAATTCATTCGTGTTTACCGATAAATAACATTCTTAAAACTCAAATATTGGCTCTAACCTTGTAAGTTGTTGAATTTGAAGAGATTGACGGTTGTTTCATCCATTATTTGCCAGGTTAAAGCAATAAAGACATTGTTTGCGGTGTCACTTTTGTACGACTACCATAATGGTTTGTATAGCGTGACCAACAGAATTGATATGAAATATTGAATTCAGTGCAGTTCCTTAACATTTCGCTTCTGGTAAAATTCTTGTGATTGTATTCTTTTTATCGCCAGTCATTGTTTTAAATCAGAAGTGAACCATTTTTGTCACAAAGTAACTTAATAGTGGGAATCCTGTACATTGACATTTTGTTGTTTATATTAATACAATGTTATGATTTATGAATAATTGACTATGTAGTAATGATACTGCTTCCAGATGGCGGATACGAGATTGCGGATACGAGATAGCGGATAGCAGATATCGGATAATACTTTCTATTAAGTCTACTGAGCGGTTTCAGTTGATAATTTTATGATGGATAAAACCGACAATGTATCTACGGCTACGCGTAATATATTAGTAAACTTATAAATTGCATGTACACTTCTTAACAAAGTTTAAGACGAGGTCAACATATGGCTTCTTAATCTTGCGTTTGCTTTTGATGCCAGAAGTGTCTAGTTCGAAAAAGGAACAGATATCTTGTAGCACCAAAATTGAAAATCTGTCGAGCTTATTGCGTGAAGCATAGTCACAAAGGTTATATGTGTCATACATTATTGGATGGCGAGAGGAAACTGCATTAAGGACCTTAAAATGTAAATCTTGTATTAATTCTTCTGTACTGACTTCTTGTTCATCCTTCTGGGATCTAGTTAAAAATCCAGCGGCAGCCTTCCTCCTCTTTGCTGTTTCACGCGAATAGAAACTGGCGATTTGCAGTGCCGTCAGATATTCGGTAGCTGTGAACATAGGCTCGCCACTGGAGAGCCTTGCCCTCTTCATTGTTCTTGAAACGGACACATGCAGGATCAGCCTTTTGACCAGTCTGCTCACCGACTTGATAAGTATCTAGTAAATATGTCTTTTGTTTCTCCGATAGTCGTTTGTATTCCTTGGTACTTTTAAGGGCCCAGCCCATGTTCAGAATCGGCGTAGCTACAACGTCAACTGGAATGTCTTCATATATCTGTGGTACATCACAAGTTGCTCCTTGTTCAAGCTTTGATGCGTACATAATTATTGCCTTATCAACTAAAGTTTCGCACTCTAGAGCGTACTTGTGCTTCCCACAATCGAGGTGGTTTTCAAGTGAGGAATGTCGCTGAAAGGACATGACGCAGCCTTCCTCAGAACAAAAGAATAAGCTCTCAGCATTTGGATTGTCTTCATCTGTAGCGTCCTCTCCTGCAGAGTCAAACTGTTCAGGCACGGTGGTTTCTTTGGATTGTCGTCTTGTCATGATGTTAGTAAATGAAACTGAAGCGGTATGGGCGCTCACCTCATGTGGATCTTTGAGTGTTGGTGGAAGATAATCTTTGGGCACGCTAAAATCGTCCCATAACTTAAGTTTGCCAGGTCCAATACCATAGGCTCTCAATACTCTGATCCCTTCTTTGCTGAATTTCATGTTGTTAAAGAAGCAGATCCCTTCCCATTTTACAGGAAAAGGCACTTCATCACCTTGTGGGCCACACAACGTTACTCGTAC